CCCTGAAGTTACAGGATATAAAGAAGAGTGTTGTCCATCGAGGACAACCTTTATACTACGATTGGAAAGAAAGGACTCAATAATCTTAAAGATGTTACCAGATACACCATAAGAAGAAAGCTTATGGAGAAGACCAGCATGCCAAACTTTATCAAATGCTTTAGAATTGTCAAGTGCGATAGCCTTAACCTCTCCACCTCTATCTAATGCACGGTAAAACCTATCGGTTATTACTGTTAGCAAATCAGCTGTAGAACGAGAAGATCGAAATCCATATTGATGATCAGAAAGTAAGTTATTTGATTCAAGATGAGAGATTAAGTGTTTGTTGATTAAAGATTCAAAAACCTTGCTTATGACAGGAAGAAGACTAATGGGACGGTAGTTAGATGAATCAGAACGCTCTCCGGAATTTTTAAAAATAGGGATAACAGATGCTGCTTTCCAGCATGATGGAAAACAGGACTCTGATAAGCACTTGTTAAATAGTTTTGAAAGTATGGATGAAAGCTCCGGAGAACACTTCTGCAAGACAACAACAGGAATATTGTCAGGACCACAAGCTGTTGAAGAGTCTAAGCAGGAAATTACTTTTGATACAGAAGCTGAAGTGATGCGAATGTCAAGCAAGGGGTCAACCTGTTTGACGGCTATGTCAGGTAGAACGCAACTAGTGAAATCGAGAGATGATATTGATGAAAAGTTCTTAGCAAACAATTCAGCTTTGTCTTTAGGTGAGGTGACAAATTCTGAACCATACAAGAGAGAAGGAATAACAGATTTGCCCTTATTATTAATACTGTTAAAGATTCTCCAGATGTCTCGAGAGCCTAATTTTTGTGATAAAATACGAGATTTTATGACCTGAGAATAGCGAGCTTTGGCGTCAGGCAAAACCTTTTTACAATGGTTTCTGGCGATAGTGAACAGATGTCTGTTTTCTGGAGAATTGTTTTGCTGATAGATATGGAAGTAACGGTTTTGATTAGAAATTGCTGCAGCGCAATGTGAGGAAAACCAAGGAGAAGAGTGAGGCGTGACCTGGAATCGTCGAGAGAGAATAAAAGATTCCATTCCAGCCTGAATCCACGAAGTTATGTAAGAAGCACATTTAACAGCGGGAAGGCGAAAGATTTCTACCCAAAGGCCATCACGAAGAAAATCACGGAAAGAGTCCCAGTCAGCTTTAAGGTAGTTGTATGTGGTACGATGATAGGGGGATTCTGATGAAGTAGAAGAATTTGATAATAGTTTTAGAGAGATCAAACCGTGATCAGAAGCACCTAAGGGTGAATGTGGAGAAACTGAGCACTGACTAGGATCCAAAACAAGACATAAGTTGAGTAGAGAAGGTAAATGATTAGGGTTGTCTGGAAAGCGAGTTGGAAAGTTGACTATTTGAGTTAGAGATTGAGAAAGGCAAAAGTTGAGGGCCTTAACGCCAGCAGAGTCACTGACACTAGAGCCAAGCCAATCAGTGTGATGGGCATTAAAGTCACCAACAACGACGATATTGGCCGATGGATAAAGAGAGAGGGCTTGGTCAATTTGATCAGAAATAACATCAAGAATAGTGCAATCTTGGGATGAAGGAGAGCGATATAGAACAAAGAGAAAGACGATAGAGTGAAGTGGTGCTAAACGAAAGCACATAAAAGAATAGTCAGTAGATTTAAACCTAGTTTCACGACAAATGGTTGAGTTCTTACGAATGTAGATGCCCAGGCCAAGCATGTGATTATTGGAGTCTTTACGAATTAAAAGAAGATAACCATTAACACTAAGATCTTAAGATGGGACAGCCGAACTCAAAATAGTCTCACAAAGAGCAAGTAGGTGTGGTGAACTTTGCAAGAGATAAGACTCAACAGAAAAAAAGTTACTTCGAAGACCACGAATATTAGTAAATGATAGGTTTAGAGAACTTGGTGATGAATGAAACAATGGTTTTTTGTGTTTATTAGTTTTAGGTACTTTAGTCATTTTAAATTTATAAAGAACTTGACTCAAGTATAGATAGTACTAAGTACACTATTTAACAACTAAGCAATAGCCTCATTACTATTAATAAACCCTAAGCCGTAACAAAGGGCTCCAAATGTGGCCTCTGCAATGCACACCAAAAGTACGAACAGGGACACCATCCATGCGCAACATGGCACTGTTAGTACTCTGATATTTTTCGGCTGTTGATGGAATCAGCCTCTCTGAGAGCTACCACAGAGTTCGGGAAACCTGACTACCAGCCGGCCTCAGAACCATAAAACTGAGTTTTAGAGCTGTACCCTCATTAGGAGATAATAGAATCAGTTGCCCAGTCATAAAAATAGAGACACAAGCAATACACACGCATTGAGTCAAGAAGATCCAGCATTCAACATCCTAAACTGGAAACAATGTATTAAAAATACATCTGCGCCAGCCTAATAGATGAAGAAGGGGTGCGAGACTGGTCAACAGAAAAAATCTGTTTACCCCTTAATTCTTTGCCTAGGAGGCCTTCTACAAGACAGTAGCCGGATGCATTTAACATCTGCCCAAGATGAGTATTTTTATTGAGACACCATCTCTAGCCTTAATTCAACCAAGAGCCCCAAGGCAGGGGGTGTTTTAAATCGAAGTTAACTTCTCCTAGCCTTTGCCTAAAATAGCGTATCCTACAAAGCAGCAGGACATGAAGCAGGTTGTACTGGGTTACATGTTACCAGTAGCAGGAAAACCTGACCATAAAACTGGTTTATAAAAATACTTTATCAATGTAGCAGGAAAACCTGACCATAAAAATGGTTAATAAAAATATACTTTATTAATGAGTTAAGTTACATGATTTGTCTTAACATTTTTAATTAGTTAAAACGTTTTTAAAAAAGATTTAAACACGTGTGTTCCAAATTTTAAAACGATTTTAAAAAGGTTTTTTTTTTTGATTATTGATATTACTTTGTTTATCCTTTTTTTTTTATTTCTATTATTTTTAAAAAAAATTTTAAATAAATTTTTGTTTTAAATTTTATTTAGAAATATAAAAGCGTTTTTAATGTTTATTTATGTTTGTGTGAGTTGCCATAACGTTTTTTGTTGATATTATTTAGTTAATCAAAAATAGAATAAAAATAATCAATATTATTATGCAAGAAAAAATCAAGTTAAGACTTTGGCGCTGATAGATAAGAAGGATAGCACAACTCTGCTGCTATCAAAAAAATGGTGGAAGACACTATATATAGATTTGATGACACTATATATAGATTTGAATATGGATAAGAAGCAAATCTTTTTATACAATGAACAGATAAAATACACAAACTTCATTGTTCTCAATATTCACAAATATCTTTTTTCTCAACAAATTCTTAATATGTGGAACAATATGATATCAGAAGCTGTAAATGCCAAAAATACCTGTATGTTAAAGAGTGAAATCAAACCTTCCATTTTCAATAAATGCTACGTATATAAATTTAGTTAAAACTGTTTTGATTATAAATTATGTTTGTTTATTATGTAGATTTCTTTTTCAATTATTTAGGAACACAATATTAGTTTCTAACTAATTGGAACTGTGTGTCATTTAGAACTTGTATTATTGTTCTAATAATATATACTATGCATTTGCATCTTGATAAACTAGCTACATATTCTGAAAAACATTTTAATGAACAGAAATGAATATTTCAAACATTTCGATGAACAAATATGATAACTAAATAACTTGATAATTTGTGAAATGATAATTTTACAAAAAATAAAGAGATCTAATTAATAATTACTAAAAGATGGCAATAGTTCAAAACACATGATAATTTTAATAGTCAAAGTGTTGTAACCCCCATTAATGTACTTTATTTTGTACTTGCCAATTAATGTTGTATTTAGAAATTGCTTAACAATAAAACATGTCTTTATTAAATCCAAAATTAAAGTTGAAAAACTAAAGGAAAAAACAAACAAATTATTTTTCATAACTAATATCTATATTGTAATTATTAAACAAAAAATATCTTGAAGAAAATAATTAAGATTTTACCAATAAACATTTTTAAATTCATTTATACAATTTTTTAAAATGTAAAGGTTAGAAAAAAACAACTTAAAAAATCTTAAAGAATATCTTGAGACCAAAAATTAAACAAACAAAATTAAAAAATAAATAAAATAAAAAATATAAACATAACCCACAAAACTTTGCTAAAAGTTTTGTAGGTAACAGTGACATATATACTAAAAGTATTAGAAACTCTGTCCCACATTTTTGTTTTCCTGACTCATCAAATTTACAGTTTTTTAAATCTTCTGTCGACTGATTTATTGCTCTTTAACTGGCTTCTTTGTTTTCTGTTTTCTAACAACCAACTCAATTAGTGGTTGTTTAGAGCCTTGATGGGAGTAAATAAAAAAAAAATTGAATTGGAGATTAAGTACTTCAATTGAGAATTTTGGGCATTATCAAGATATGAAGAACTTGTACATATAACTTGTTCAGTCAAAGCAAGGATGAAAACAAATTAGATTTAATGCCATGGTAATTATAAGTAGATTTATTGCCATGCCATAGCCCATTTGATAACTAGTCTCGAATCCAGTTGAATCTATTTGAGCTTAAATGGATCAAAGCACAATTAATCAAACCACAAATGAGATCCTGAACTAGCCTGATATAGAACTAGGTATAATTTATAAGTTTTAACTCATATTTGCAACCATCAAGTTGTATCAATGTTAAAAAGATATGTAGTTTGCAAAAATTATCGAGTACAGTCACATATATACATATATATATATATATATGTATCCTTGCATTAAAATCAGGAGAAAAATTTTAATTTTTGCTAAAGGTAAATATTTTTAGCTCAATTTTAAATAAAACAGATTGTTAGATTTGGTAGTAACCTTTTTATGAATTTTAAATAATTTGATAATCAATCAAGAAATAAAGATAATACAGTTAAATTAACATGCATAAAATAAAAACAGTTCAGCCTAACTTTAACTATACTAACCTTACCAAGGTCATGAGTTGTTGAAAACATTCCCCCACTAGGTCTCGACCATCCCCAGTCTAGTATTTCAGCAATAGATCCATCCGAATTATAGCTTTTGGGAATATCTTTTATTCTAAAAAGTATTAAATTAAAAAAAAATATTTTTAATAATTTTATTCATATTAAAATCGCTAAGTTTTACTTATTAATTGCTTCAATTTTCAAATAATAAGCTTAATAGAGACAACATATGAATATCAAATGACATTAGATTACGCCTTTAATTATATTATCTTACTGAAATACTAAACGTTTAAGAAACTTAGATTAAAATGATTATAATAAAAAGCCTAATTTTTTGCCATATTTTCAATAAAGAAAAATATGGCAATTTATATTAGAACTGATAAGTGTTTAGTTAAAATTTTAACACTTTTGCACATTTGAAAAAAAAGACAAAAGAAATTACAATTTCAGAATTGAGATTTTCCTAGAAATCAGAAATGAGCATCAGTCATTCTTTACTTAACTATTTTATATATAACTATAACTATAAATAAATATTAAAACTATACATAAATATAACTATCACCTTATTCTTCTTCATTATCAGAATCTCCCTATCATCGTATCTCTTTTAACTACCTTAAAGCTGACTGGGACACTTTCCATGATTTTCTTGGTGATGGCTCTTGGGTAGAAATCTTTTGTATTACTGCTGAAACATGTGCTTTTTACGTAACTTCTTCGATTCAGGATGTCATGGAATTTTTTATTCCCTCTCGATGATTCCAAATCAAGCCTAACTTTTCCATGGTTTTCCTTTTATTGTGCTGCTGCAAATTCCAATTGTAACAATTACTTTCCAATCTATCAGCAAAACAATTCTCCAGATAACAGACAACTGGTTACTATTGCTAGAAAACATTATAAAAAGATTTTGTATAACACCAAAGCCTGCTATTCCCAGACATTAAATCTCATATTTCATCTAAAAAATTAAGCTATTGTCAGTTCTGGAGAATCTTCAATAGTATCTATAATAAGAGAAAATCTGTTATTCCACCTCTGAATAGTTCAGATTTGCCACCTCACCTAAAGACAAAACTGAATTGTTTGCAAAAAAATTCTCATCAATATCATCTTTTGATTCCACTAGTTGCATTTTACCTGATATAACCAACAAACAGGCTGGTTCACTGCTTGACAATAGTATCTAAAGTGACTTCATGCTTAGAGTCTTCTGCAGCTTGTGGTCCAGACAACAAACCTGTTATAGTCTTGTAGAAGTATTCTCCGGAGCTGCCATCAATACTTTCAGAACAATTTAGCAAATGCTTATCAACGTCTTGTTTTCCAATCTGCTGGAAAGCAGCATTTGTTATCCCTATTCACAAAGATTTTAGAGAGCAATCTGACTTGTCTAACTACCATTTTATTAGTCTTCTTTCTATCATAAGTAAGATTTTTGAGTCTTTAATTAAAAAACACAACCTCTCATCTAAAAAGCAAAATAGTATCGAAAAAAATTGCTCGAAAAACAAATTTGTCATCAAAAATTATTTGATAGAAATGTTTTTTTGGGATTAATATTGAAAATCAATTATAATGAATTATTTTGAAAAAAAAAAAATCAAAATTTATATAGAAGAAGTAATGTCAAAAATGCTTATATGAAATAATATCGAAAATTGAATTTGTATCAAAAAAGTAGCAAAAAGGTAGAATGTGCAAAGAGATTTGCTACATTGAAAAAAATATATTTGCAATATCCGTAAATACTTCTGGTAATTAAATTCTTAGTTTATTAAAACTGTGAATATTGTTTTCAATGACACAGTCAATTTATCATATTGCAAAAATTAATGAAAAAACAAAACAATAACTTTACTACAAAATAAATGCTACCCAAATTTTACAAATTTACTGCAAAATAGTAACAGTCAAAACTTACATATTTTTAATTATTGTTTTTTTGAACACCAGGTAATTTAAGGGTTATTAAAAAAAAAAAAAACATTATTACTATAGGTCCAAAAAATTCATAATCTTTAATTATAATAAAAATAATAGTAATAATATGAATTAACAAAATGATTTTATATCATAATTAAAGATCAACATAAATACTTTTTATTGAATAACAGCTATTGAGTTTAGTGATCAAAACATTTTTGTAGTTTTTAAAATGCTTAAAATTTAAATACCGGAAGCATTTTCAGATATCGCAATTTGTGATCACTTAATTCAAGCCCTAAACCTTATTCTGCTTTTCATATTTTAGATACAATTCCTTTTTTTTTACTATTTCGGTTTTTTTTTCTCTATTTTGATATAATTCTTAAAAGTCCCTCTTCAAGCTTATTCAGTTTGGCTGTTTTCAATACTGTTACTACTACCCCTCTAATCTTAAACCTAATAACTTACTTTCTGTTCATCAATATGGATTTGGTCTTCTTGTTCTATTGCTGATTTGTTAACAGTAATAATCGATAGGTTTTATCGTGCATTAGATGTG